GTAAATCACCCAACTCTGCATGTTCTAAAATAAATACATAGGATTTATCGGGTGCTAAAGAATAGAATAATAGTTAACTTTATTAAATAGTACTATAATTATCAGTGGCAACGTATTTCCAAAAATACAGTATACGTAAATACTTACAACGACTAATTACGTTAAAAATATGTATTTAACAGATAAGGAAAGTATATTTATATAAATATGTAAGGCACGATATTAAAAGTGCGATCAATGATCTTACGAATACTTAAACTTTTTATTAGAAAAGAAAACAGTATTAGTATGGGAAATGTTATTGATAAAGTTGACATAAAAGATGACTTTGTATTGCCATCACCAACCACCTGTAAAAATGCTTTTAAATACTTCAACGGGAGGAGATATCATAACGTTGAAAGTTCCAAATATCCCTTCCCAAATGATAATGATGAAATAGATAGATTACACTTGCAGCATTTCGTGTACAGGTACTTTTTTCAGGGAAATTTTTCTGCCCCTGTTGAAGATGTTTTAAATACTGTGGGTTCGAAAGTGCTCGACTGTGGGTAAGATAGATATACAGTATAGATATATATTATAAAATCTACTTTACGTTGGGTTATTAACATGTGTGTTTTGTTAAGTTGTGGTGCAGGTTCCTGGATACTTGAAATGGCAACTGATTATCCGAAGGTTCAAATTACTGGAATTGACATCTCCCCTATTCAGCCATTAGGAATCAAGCCCAAAAACGTTGAGTTCCTCCAAGCCGATTTGCTAGAAGGATTGAAATTTAAAGACAATACTTTTGATTACGTGTTCCAACGTCTGATGTTTGCCGCAATTCCTCAAGAAAAATGGCCTTATGTTATTAATGAAATAACCAGGGTCTTAAAGCCTGGGGGTTATCTGGAGGTATGAATTCATCAAGAATTTGCGGACAATACTTAAGCGTACTTTATTAGCATTTATCCCAGTTATCTGTCTATTTTAAAGATATCGGAAATCGGTCCATGTTGTAATATGGGTCCTGCCACAACCAAACTGTATTTTGCCGGTAAGCGATATGCTGTCTAGAAAGAATTTCTTAAGTGCAACCATTACAATATTAATTGTTTTCATACGTTCAGGAGAAGAAATGTGTAAACAAAGAAATTATGACTGCAGAATACTCTATAAATTAAAATCGCTCTTCGAGCAGAACGAACGACTTGAAGATATTCACGAAGAAAGAAGATCAATTGAATTTGGAATCAAGACCGGAAAACTGGGTCTGGCTGTACGTAATAGAATTTCGGGTTTTGACCTTTGGCTACTTTTGATAACAAATCATTATATGTTCACAATGTAGGCCATCGACAATGTTAAGTCTGGATACAGGAACGTGAGAGACATTACAGAGCCAATTTTAGGTGTGACTTCAGAAGAATACAATGTATTGTTAGATACAATGGCCAAAGAATTAAGAGACCTTAATTCATATTACCACATCAATCGCGTCTATGCACGTAAAAAAAGATAATACTTGGTTTTATTCAATTCATCATGTATATATATATTGCAAATCAAAAAAATTTTTAATTTAAATAGATCATCCACTACAATAATAAGTTACAAATTAGAAACATTTAATGCTAAAAATAAAATAATCAACGCATGAATTATTCATGAAAAAAATTTTTTTTTTTTAGTTTAATAACCTTTCGCATTTTTATTTTGCAATTCATATGATACTTGATACTGAAGTGTTTTATTAAATCAAACTGAATTAAATTATAATCGATGAATATGATAAACAACAAAGAAATAGATAATAAACCTTAAGTAAATAATTTTTTTAAATCTTATCAATCTCACTTTTATCTTCATTACATAAAAATAAACTAAACATACTCAATATGTGATTATAAGATACTAAATATGGGATTACGAGATAAAGCATAATTCCTTAAGGATTGATTACATAATAACCTCTACAAAGTCATTGTCGCCGCTCGCGGTCATTAATTTGACCAGTCGTGTCAGAATCAAACCCAGCGTAGATCGATCACGTGATTAGAGACAGCACAGTGCGTACGAATGATATACTGTACATAGTATTATACAGTGTATATTTTATCAAAGATTTTTTTATCAAAAATTTTACCTCTATAATATTAATGACATTATCTATATTATAATACAATTTATTAAAACAATACAAAATTGTCTTATTAACAAATATAAAAAACATTACAAATAATAGTTTTAACAGTTAAATATTGGTTAATTTATTATTAGTTAATTGATTAATTGATTAATTGATTAATTACTATTAATTGAATATAATACATATTATAAAAATAATATATAATTATTGATTAAGCTAATATCAAATTTTTTGAAATTAAGTATTATTTTTATTATACAATAACTATATTATATATTGTATATGTAATATTTTAATATAATTTTTAATAAAATAATAATGTTATCATTAAATACCATAATAAGATAAATATTAAAATTAACTATTTTTAAAAAATATCATATACAAAACAATATTCTTTTATAAATTATTTAACTTTTATTTATATAATCTGTTTGTTAAAACTTTTAAATTATAATATATAAAAACTATTTCTTATTTGATTTATTGATTATTTCAAATAAACTAAATATTATTTATAATTAAAAATTTCTTAAAAAAATTAAATAATTTAATATTATTTAATTTTATTATAATAAATATAGAAATTAGTTTTTACAAATTCAAAAGGTTCTTTAATTTTTTAAATAATAATTTTTTTTATTAAAAATATCACTATAAGATAAAACTCAATATATTTAATATTTAAAAAACTTATTATATTAAACAAACAATTTAGATCTATCTATAAAATAATAAAATAATAAAAATAATTTGTATAAATACAATATCTTAGTTAAATTAGATTTAACAAAAAATAAATAATTATATTATTAAATTAATCTTATTTTTTTATATATTATAAAGGTTATATTTTTTAATATATAAATCTTATTAATTTTTTTTAAATTTTTTCATTTATTTGTAATTAAATATTCAATTTATATATAAATATATAATTTTAATTTATAAAACAATTTTAAAATCTATAAAAAAATTAATAATTAAATTTTGAAGATTTTAAACTTAATAAATTCAAGATTTTAGTCACTTATTTTTTTAATTAAAAAATATATATTTTCTTTTATTTATAATTTAATTTTTTTTAAGTTATAAACAAATATTAAATATGAAATATTTTTTATTAATATATGTTATTTATCATTATAAAAGTGTTCCACTTTATCTATTGGTAAGAATTGATACTATATCATTTGACTATTACTAACTAGTATATTTACAGTATTTTATTATATAACTTCAATATACTTAGCTATACAAA